TCAGGTCATGATCTCAGGGTCATGAGATTAAGCCCTGCGTTGGCTCGAGTTAGGCGTGGAGCCTGCTTAAGATTCTTTCTCTTTCTCTCTCTCTCTCTCTCAAAAAAAGTGCTTCTGAAATGATTTCTGTCAGGGTACTAACACTGTTTAACACCCTTTAAATTAACACATACAAAATACAAACTGTGAACATAGTTTAAGTTAACAGTGACAACATCTAAACTGTTTTCAGGGGCACTTGGGTTGCTCAGATGGTTAAGCATCTGCCTTCGGCTCAGGTCATGAGCTCCAGGTCCTGGGATCGAGCCCTGCATCGGGCTCCCAACTCCGTGGGGAGTCTGCTTCTCCCTCTCCCCCTGCTGTGCTCTCTCTCTCAAATGAATACGTAGAATCTTAAAAACAAAACAAAACCAAAAACTTTTTTAGTCAGTCAAAATGCTGGGGTCGCAACAGGGGAGGAGAGAGACTGGCTTTGCCAAGAACTAGCTATGTGACGGTAAGTCACTCACTTCCTAGGACCTCTATTTTGCCATCTATAAAATGGTACTGTTGGTGATAATATCTATAGTTCAGTATCCATAGTTAAAAATATCATGTCTCTCTCCTCCCCTCTGAGGAGGGCAGTTCCTCAAATTAGCCAGTGTCCTTGTACAGGGTGCAGGGAATAAAGCACTTCTCCTCTAAGAGCTCCCAGTCCGAATGGATAGGCAAACTTGTATGGAAGGATTACATGAGGGCACAGCATCTTGCCAGGCACCTCAAATTTGTAAGAGGGCATTAGCTGTCCTTTAAACTCCAGAGATAGGTATTGGTACTTCTCCAAGAACTTTTCAGGATGAGCTATTCAGGCCACTCCTGTCTTCTTTGCTGCCATCATCCTAATCCAAACCCACCCTGACTCTTGGAATACTTCTCGCTGGCCTCCCTGCTTCCATTCTTGCCTTCCTAGAATCCATTCTCTACACAGCAACCCAGAATGATCAAAAAGCGTGGGATCACTAATTTTTCTGCTTAAAATCCTCCAATCATATCTAAGTACCCAGAGAAGACAATCCAATCTCCTTTCCGTGGCTTAGGTGGCTCTTGGCAAGCTCCTGTTTACTTCTCTGACCTCCTTTTGTATCTCCCCCCTCATGACCCACCTAGAGACCAACCCTTATCTTATTCTTTAAATTTATTCCTTATCTTCTCTGAAGGGCAGAGCTTATTTTTGCCTCAGGTCTTTGCACTAGTTATAACCTGTCCTGAATCCTTTCCTGGACTCCACAGGGTTGACGCCTTCAGGCCTTACTCTAAGGGTCACTTTTCAGAGAGGTCATATCTGACTGTTGGCAGCCCTCCCCCATTATGGTCTTTCATGTCCCATCCAGTTCATTCTCAGAACTTAAGTAATTTCAGAATTAATTATGTTCTTTCTCAGAAATTATCTTATTACTTATTTGATTGCACACTACTGCTTCTGTCCCCCAAGCAGAAGTTGGGTCTTCCGTGGTAGTTTACTGCTGTAGACAGCGCCTTGAATTGGGCCCGGAAGGTATGCAATACATTGTTGACCTATCATACCCACTACTCACTTCTGCTTGATTTTTACCAAAAGCGCAGTTGAGGAAAACCATGTTTACAGAGGACTGCCTGAAAAAGTTGTACTTCATCCATTCTTCTATGACCTAAGTATTCTTAAAACAAATTAGAAACACACACACACACACACCTTGCTCTGAATTGCAGAAGTATTGAGCAGCAGAAGTATTCAGTTAAACCACATGACCTATTGGCTTTAGGATGCCTTTCTAAATTGTGATTTAGCCTTCTTTGATCTAGTCAGGGATGTGCTAAGAAACAGTCCTATGATCATCGGTGCTGATAAGAGGTTAAGGATATGACACTAGCTTTTCTTTATGGGGACCCTAAAGATCAACTAGAGGTATCTAGTGTTTTAATCGGAAAGAGCTGTTTGTACTGTGTGTCTAAAGTTGCCTTCTCTCCTGTACACAAGAGCAGAGTGGACCAGGCCCTGGTATGAACTAGTGGAGAAACAACAGTCACTTCTGGCTGTCTTAATTAATGTACCACATTTTACCCACTGCACTCTGAGGATCAACCCACTTCTAACTTCCTCTTGTTTTCCTTCCTCTCAATGCTCTTTTTGCCCTGTTTTCTCATGCATTTATATTTTATGTTTTCACATTACGGTGAACTGCCTTAAATATTTTCTAGAATATGTCATTTAAGTGAAATAAGTATTAAGGGCTACAACAGTAATATGCACAAAATAATAGTTAATAGGTGAAAGATCAACTGGTTCTGGAAAAGAGATGAATATTTGAGGTGGGTCTTGAATAAAAGGCAGTTAATGGCAGAAAAGGGCAATCTGGGGCACCTGGGTGGCTCAGTCGTTAAGCGTCTGCCTTCAGCTCAGGTCATGATCCCAGGGTTCTGGGATCGAGCCCCGCATTGGGCTCCCTGCTCAGCAGGAAGCCTGCTTCTCCCTCTCCCACTCCCCCTGCTTGTGTTCCCGGGATCTCTCGCTGTGTCTCTCTCTGTCAAATAAATAAATAAAATCTTTAAAAAAAAAAAAAAGGGCAATCTGCAAATACAGAGATGAAGAAGACACAGTCCTAATCAAAGAAAAATGGAGAGACGAGTAAACCAATTCTTACATTTCATAGTATTTGCTGAACGTTACCATATGTCGGACTCAGTGCAAACCACTATAACTTTTATTACATTTAAACCTCTAAACAACCCTATGAGATAGACTTTATTATTATCCCCATTTATAAAGAATGAAACAGAGGCTCAAAGAGGTTAATTAACCTGCACAAGATCAGACAGCTTGTAAGGGGCAGAGTGGGTACTCCTGTGGCCTCTAACATCCACTCAAGTCCTGACATCTTACCTCCTTCTCTGTATTCCCTCTTTGTCTGAGCTCCCAATATCTCTCGCTAGGACTAATGCAGCCGTGGCTGAATGCACAGTAGTGAGGAATAAGAATTCTGGAGCCATTCTCCAGATTTTGAGCTCAGGCTCTATACCTTACTAACTGCACAGACTTGGGCAAGTTGCTTAACCTCCTCGTGTCCCAGTTTCATTTGTAAAGTGGAGTTAATAATTAGAACATTCCTTGACACATGATGAATTCTATATGTTAGAAAGCACATAACTCCTCTCTTCTCTTCCCCTCATCATTCTTCACATAGTGCATACAGCATGGTGGTGTTTTTTTGTTTGTTTGTTTGTTTGTTTTGTTTTAATGCAATTCTGATCACACAGCACCAATGTTAACTACTGATTCCCATTGCCCTCAGAAATCTCTGGCTATAACTTTTTAAATTCTAGCCAATATTTATCATATTTTGAGTTTTTCCAACACTTTGGGGCCTTTGCACAAGTGGGTCCCCCCACTTGGAACACCAGTCCCACTACAACTATTTATTCTTCAAAAACGGAATTAACAGTAACTGTCTTAGGGAAGCTGTTCTTTGAGAATGGATAAGCAATCTTTGCTACATGCTCCCACAGTTCCTACCCTTGTACTTCCCCTGCGGTAACATTTGCCACCCTTAAAACTAATTATCCAAGGTGTCTTTCCACCAGACTGCAACCTAAGAGGGGGGGAAAAGGTCTTGCCTGTTGCTTCTGGACTGTAATCCCAAGACCTAGCCTAGATAGGATAAATAAAACTGAAATGAAGCAAAGCTAGAATTTCCCATGAAGGTCCTGGACCCTCCCACTTCACTGGAGCCTCCCACTTCACTAGTGTTATCACAAATTTAGGCCTATTACTCTTCTTCCCATTGCAGGCCCTTTAATGTGGAGATCCTGCCTACCCCCAACTTTTCAGAAGTGGCCTCTCCACAGGCATCTTACCCTTACTGGTCACTCTCTCTTCAAATCACACAGCACCCCCAGACATCCCCTTCCCAGATGTTAAAGAACTTCCTTCCTCCTTAACTGAAAACCTTCTTAGGTTCTCCCTCCAGTTGCCCATCATGCCTGTCCACCTTTCCCAAGGTGGCACCCTATTTTATTTCTGCTCTCAGTCCATAGATCACCCCCTGGGTCTCTGCACACGTGGGTCCACCTTCCATAAACTATCCTCACAACTTTCCACAAACCCCTTATCTGCCTGCCGACCCTCCTCCCATTCCTGCCCGACAAACCACCGTCCCCAACACAAATACACAGACAAATCTTTTATTGCCTTGATCTACCCCAGGTGGCCTCATCCCTACACTGGCTCCTCCTAAATCCCCCATGCACACTCTCTGATTGCCCTCCAGATACCCCGTCCACATCTATTCCTTTTATATATTATCTCTGTCTCTCCCTCCCTACCTCCAGTCCGGGGCTGGTTCTCAGGCCTCATTGTGATCCACACCACTGTCTGGGGGCCCTTCCCAACCTGTCCAGAAGGTTCCTCCGGGTGTCACCCTCTGTACGCCGACACCCTTAGTACTCGCGTCTTGGAACCTCTCCCTCCGTTCGGGCTTGGCCCCAAACTTCCACCCCATCCCTAAAGTCCTCACACCCTCGAGCCCACCACAGGCCCTCCGGCCCCCGGCGGCAGGGTCCCCACCACTTCCTCCCCTTCGCCACTCCTCGGACCCCATATTCTCACCAAGTGCTCCCTCACCACATCCGCCGATGGCCTGGACCCCCTGCCGGTACCACCCGCCCACGCACCGCTGCCACCATTCCCGGGCCCCCACGTGTGCTCCCAGCCCCCCGGCCATCCTCCCAACACACCCTCCGCAGGCCCAGCGCGGCCTCCGAAGAGCGGGCCGGGAGTCCAAGGGGCTCCGAGGGCGACCAAGGGTCCGGGGAGAGGCCCGAAGGACCCGGGGGAAGCGTCGGGGAAAGGCCGGCTCTCCGAGGGGTCTGATCGCTGAGGCCGAGGGGCTCCCGGAAGCGGCCGGGGAGGCCGGGGGACTCGGGGGAAGCCGGGGCGGCCGAGGGGCTCGGGGAAGCAGGCCGGGGTGGCTGCGAGCGGGCCTCACCGTCAGTCACGGCTCCCATGGCGTGCGCGGCGGCGGCGGCGGCGGCGGCGCA